AAGAAAGATGGCATGATCCGTATGCGTAGAGATTCAGGAGAGGGAGCTTTATAAGGACCCTTAAAACATTTAGCTGGAGGAACGGCATGTTGTGGAACTTACACTTGCCATTCAACTTTATTAACACCAGCCATTAGTTGCTGCGGATGCTTTTAGTCAACAATATTTGATTCATTCTTATGCGTTTTTGGAAACTACGCAATGCAGAAAACGCATTTTGATGAGGGGTTATCTGTGTGTTCGTCTGTACCGTTCCTTCATGCTGAGACCTACAAAAGCTACAGGACTGAAATTTTTGGAAGTTAAACTACATGCATGTATGGGCCCCAATCCTCAAAATGGACACTCTTATCCCCGTGGTGCTTACGTACGACCTCGCCAAAATCTGTGTGTTCGTCTGTACCGTTCCTTCATGCTGAGACCTACAAAAGCTACAGGACTGAAATTTTTGGAAGTTAAACTACATGCATGTATGGGCCCCAATCCTCAAAATGGACACTCTTATCCCCGTGGTGCTTACGTACGACCTCGCCAAAGTTGCTTATGGGCAAGCTGCTTATTCGGAAACCAGAGAAGCTGGAAAGCTGAAATTTTAAGAGGACGTTCCCCGTCCTCATAGGCCTTAAAAAGTCCAAATTAAGGGGACGTTTCCCGTCCACATAGGCCTTAAAACCCAGCGCTTGAGTATGAGTGGTACCCATGTGTGGGCTCGTGAAAATTTTTTCGGCTAATTTGTTAACTCGGCAACCTGAAAAGCTAGAAGACTGAAATTTTAAGAGGAGATTCCCCGTTCACGTAGGGTATTAATGATTTCAAGCCCGACACTCGGGTGTGCATGATTCCTATGTACAGGCCCGTGAATTTTTTGCCGGTGATTTGCTAACTCGGGAAGCAGGAAAGCTAAAAAGCTGAAATTTTAAAGAGTGTTTTCTGACAGTTTTGGCTGCCAGTCTTAATTCGTTTGGCAAGAAGCATCTGTAGGAAAAACCGGCGCCGTTAGTGACAAAAACTTGCGGGGAGCCATGCAAAAAACGTAGCACCGGCAATCGGTGCGCTGGCCATTTATGCATTACTGCACACATGCAAAAGCAAAACGCATATTGTGACGATCCCGATGTGCGCGCGTGTGTGTGTGTGTGTGTTTGTTTGTGTATGTGTGTGCGTGCGTGTGTGTGCGCATGTCCGGTTACTTCATCTCGGCAACCAAGCAATTCCGCCTCTAAAATTTTGCTAGTGGATTCTTTTTCCAAGTGCCACCCTAGGACCGCAGCACCAACGTTTACGCACGTCTGGGCCCCGCTTACGAGCACGTGAAAGTTTTGGCGGGAAAACCGCTAATTCGGAAACCAGAAAAGCTGGGAGGTGAAATTTTAAGTCGATTTTTCTGGCTCATGTACAACTTAAAGCTACCAATTCAGCCCTCGGGTATATGTGGCTCATCCACACAGGCCTCTTAAAATCTTTAGCGGAAAAGTTGAGGACTCGGGAACCAGAAAAGCTGGAAACTTAAAATATTAACTGAATATTTCCTGTCCAAGTACCACCTAACTTCACGATTAACTTTCCGAACTTCAAAGAACAGCATGTCACTAACTACTGGATTGTCGAGCGATCTTACTACAGCACAAAAAACCGCCAAAAAGCATGATCGCACGGGTGCACAACACCAGTGATTATCTCATAATTCTTGTATTTTTTTTTCTTTAAATCGGTAACCTGTGAATGAATGTATCGGAAGGTAGTGTTATGCCGGAGTGAGCAATGCGTCTCAGCGAAATCACATTTCGCCTGATAAAACTTGCCTTTTTTGAGCACAACCCAATTTCCAGTTCTAAAGTTTTTTTCGCCTGCCTTATATAAGCACCGATACTGACATTCTGAAGTTCTGAAAAATCCTTTCCTTTTTGAATCAAACGTAATGACTTTTTTGAAAAAAACAACTATACTTATTAAGCAGTATCTTTTAAATTATCGGCAGTATTCCCAGTCTACTTTTCCTCACATCCTCGGCACTTTTCATAATACAAACAACTAAACTATGTCAAATCTTTCTTTAGCTAAAAAAAT